CATGAAGCCCGATGTCATTCCGAGGCCGCGCGTCGAACATTTTCGATGGCGCGTCGCGTTATGCGATGTCACGTGCGTTGGGGTCGTCAAAGGCTTGTGTGCTTGTTGCGGATCGGTTGATGTGGGCTGGGGTTTCTCAGGATTGTACATTTGCTTTGCGCTGGGGCGGTTTCGACCCCCATCCCTGGCTGATCCACCCCGCGGGTAACGTCGCAGGAAGAGTTCAATCATTTCGTTCGTAGTGCCAGCGATGCTGTCGCGGACATTGACCGCGCCACGGGGGGGGGGTCGTCCAGAAATTTCCTACCATATTGCAGTGTTGGTTCTTCGTTTTGAAGAGACACCGCCCGCGTCATTCCTTCCGGCCCCCTCCCTCGTCCTCCCTCTTCGCGTATCTGCCCCTGCTCTCCGCGCGTCTCCGTCGCCATCGTCCATCGTCATCGTCGCCATCATTATCATCATCAGCATCATCAGCATTCTCGCTGTCTCCATCATCAATACCACCACCATCCTCATCAACATTATCAAAACACCCCCCTTGTTCCCCCGCGTCTCTGCTTCGCCACATCCCCCGCAAGTCTCGTGGCCTTGTGAGGTGCTCCACCGAAGGCCCCATCGGCAGGGTCCTTAGTGCGCCGCCCAGCCCATGTCGGCACGCCCCTCAGACGCTTCGTGCCCCCATGAGGAGCTCATCGGAGGTCCCGGCGGCAAGGTCCACATGCCGTCGCCCAGGCCACATTGATGACGCCCTCAAACATTTCGTGCACCTATAGGCAGCTCCACCAAAAAAAGTCCCAGCAGCAGGTTTCCCAGGCCGCCGCCCAGCATATTTCGGCATACGTTTCACACGCTTCGTGGCCCCACGGGGAGCTACACCGACGGCCCCACAGGCAGGGCCCACAGGCCGCCGCCCAGCCCATTCCGTCATACGCTCAGAAGCTTCGTGGCCCCATTGGGGAGCACCCCCGGTGGCCCAAACGACAGGGTCCACATGCCGTCGCCCAGCCCATGTCGTCCACGAGTGGCGCCCAGCACGGCTCCAAGAGCGCCCCAAGAGGCGCCGAGTAAGTTGCACCCTCATGCAATTAGTTTTTGTCACTTGTGGGGGTCCTCTTGGGGCCCTCTTGGAGCATTCTTGGGGCCCTCTGGGAGCGTTCTTGGGGCCTTCCCGGGGCCCCAGTGGGCCCTCGGAGGGCCCCAAGAACGTTCCCCGAGGGCCCCAAGAGGGACCCCCCACAGTGGTACAAAGAATTCGCGCGAACGTGCAATCTGTTGTAGGCCTTTCGGTGCCCTCTGGGAGCTCTCTTGGGGCCCCCATTGGTGGCGCCTTGGGGCCTTGGGATGGCTCCAAGAGGCTTCGGGATTGCCCCAGACCGCCACAAGACAGCTCCGAGACGGCCGTCGATCACCACGGGTGAAAGCAAGTGAGGCTAGGGAACAGGGCCTCTGGACTACCCAGACAGCGAGGGGACCTGAAACGCCCTGGGGCTCCAGGGGCCCCAGATTAGTGAAGTGAAGGTTTTTGCCATGCAAGCACCCCGAAATTCTTCACTTCACTAAACCGGACCAGGACGAACTCGCTACGCTCCAGTCCCGCGGGAGATCCAAGACTCCCGCCGCCGCCCGGGGACGTTGCTGCATTGCGGTGCTCTGGTCACTGTTAAAGGCTTCCGCGGGCTGCAGCGGCTCACTTCCATGACTACCCCGACTCACGAATCCAGTGGTTGGTCTGGCTCTATGGGTTGGTTTCGTTGTGTCGGTTGTTTTTATGTTTGGTTGGCGGTCGGTGGATTTCGCGTTGTTCATTGGTGTCGTGAAGTGATTTGTCGTTTGGTTGGTCAGTGCCGTTTTGTTGATTCGTGCCGTTTTGTTGGTTGGTGTCGTTTCGTTGGTTGGTGTCGTTTTGTTGCTTGGTGTCGTTTTGTTGCTTGGTGTCCTTTTGTTGGACGGTGTCGATTTGTTGGTTTGTTGGTTGGTGTCGGTTTGTTGGTTGGTGTCGTTTTGTTGCTTGGCGTCGTCCTGGCGGCGTGGCCGATAATCGGCGGCCTGCATTGGCGCCAGGATTTGTTTCGGGCCAGCCTTGATCGCCCTCATCATTCTCATATTCGTCAGCGTCAGCACTCGTCGCCCCCATCCGCGCACACATGCGGCCCTGGTACGGCTCTCACGCGGCCCTGCGAAGGCCTTCACTGTGCCCCCCAAAGCTTTCTGAGGGGCCCCCCAGAGGCCCCAAGAGGGCACTGGAAATTGTCGCTTCCAACTCCGCCAGACGGAGGTCAACAAGGGTCTCACTGGTGCACTTCCAGGAATCGTCGTTCGATCCTCTTGGGGCCCTCCTGGGGCCTTCTGGAGCCGTCTTGGAAGCTCCGAGCGGCTCCATGAAGGCGCCGGGCGATATCGCTTCCAATTTCGCCAGGTGGAGTTAGACCAGGGGCTCACTGAGGCCGCTTTTTGCGCCCTCCTCTGCCTTTGAAAAAGCCCCGATGGAGTTCTTCAGTGCCGTCTTAGGGCCCCTAAGAGGCCTCCAGTAGGGTATTGAAGTTATCGTTTCCAACTCCGCCACGCGGAGTTGAACCCAGGGCGGCTCTCTATGCCCCTTTCGGGGCCTTCTTAGAGCTTTTCTGAGGCCCTAAGTGGGCCCTGGGAGGTGTCATTTTCACGGGCGTTGAAAGTGACACCGCGGAGGGCCCTCTTGGGCCCTTCTTGGGGCCTCTCTTGGGTCCCTCTGGGAGCCCTCTTGGTGCCGCCCTGGGGCCTTCTCGGGGCCTTCTTGGAGCCTTTCTGGTGCTCTTTAAGTGGGCCATGGGAGGTGTCACTTTCACGGGCGCTGAAAGTGACACATCGAAGGGCCCGCTTTCCCTCGTAGCGCTGCCCGTGGCCGGGGCATTGTGCAGCGCATCCCTCGTCGAAAGTATTTTGTCGGACGCGTGGTCGAATTCCGCCAGTTCGGTCGAGATGGTGGTCAAGCGGTTCGGTTGCAATGTAGCCATGCGGATCTGAGCTTACCATTTCTTGCCATTTTTGCGGGGATCGCAGGAGCGTTTGTGTTGTGATCAACTGTGCTCGATATATCCAGCGGCAGCGTTTCATCCCAATATATTATTTTGAAAAAAGTCAGCAGGGGCCAAATTGCTGATGTGAAGCAACATAGGTCTCGTACATGAGGCGCCTGAGCCTGGCTGCGAAACATCCGTCTTCCTGCGCAGCGGCCACGGCCCCCGCCCGCGACCTGAGTAAAAATCGGGCCGGGCGAAAGGGCTGCGTGGAGCTGATTTCGACCTCACCGGAAGAAAACTTCCTCGACGCGTGGCCGCCTCCGGCGCCGGGAGGCGCCGGGAAAATCAGCTGCGCGGGTTCATTCTCGAGCCCCCCCCCCCTTTGTTATCCCCCTCTTTCGCCCGTTCAGATTCGAATTAAAGCCGGCGGCGCTGACGGCCCGTCGCTGGATGCGCACCATCGCCTTTAATTATTGCACAGCCTCGCTGGGCGCGCAGCTTCGCTGAATGCGCCCACTCGGGTGCTTCCGGGGTTGCCCCGAGCTGCGTTCTTGCAATTCGCATTTCTGTTCAAATTCATTTGCTCATATTGCATGGGCGCACACCTTCGCTGAATTCGCATTTCTTTTCAAATTCATTTACTCATATAACATGAGCGCACCGCTTCGCTGAATGCGACCGCTCGGGTGCTTCCGGGGTTGCCCCGAGCTGCGTCATTTGCTGATATAACATTGGCGCGCGGCGCGCGCATGTCGCATTTATGTACTTTTACTTGCCCCCTATTACATTTATATTCCCGTTTTACATGCTGTCCACGCTTACGCGGCGGATGATCTCCTGTGGGAAATCGAAACCCGATTCCCCGCGGGAGACACCCCGCCAGCATCCGTCGAAGGGCTCCCCGCGAGAGCTCCGTCCGCGGCGGATGGTCTCCCGTGGGGAATCGGAGCCGGATTCTCCACGGGACAACCTCCGCCGCGAGCAGGGCCCGTTGGAGGGCTCCCCGAGAGCCCCCTCGAGATTGCGCGCGTTTCTCGCCATCGAAACCGTCATCAAACTCGCCCCCATCGTCCTCACTGCTACTATTCACCGACGCCGCCAACGGCGTCGGCGCATCCATCGTCGCCGTCGCTACCTCTCGAGTGGCGGGGACCTGGGAGTGGAGAATCATGACTGCTATACTGAAAACAGCGCGTCGTCTCCGTTGTGGGAGGCCTTGCACACTCGCCCCGAGTCGTTTCTGACGTGCCCACCGCGAGGGTTGAGAGTTGGGGGTCGTAGTGGTGCTCTGGGCCGGCTCTGATTTCGGAGTGCTTAGAAATTGGGCCCCTGGAGGGTCGGAAGGGAGTTTTCGCGCGGCTCTTGGCCTCGATCGTCGCGAATCGATCCTCGATCCGAGTTTCGAGTCGGGGATCGAGAAAATTCTCATCCTCCTGAACCTCCTTCTCCTCTTCCTCCACCTCCTCCACCTCCTCCTGCTCCTCATCCTCCTCTTCCTCCTGTTTGCTCTATTGTCACGATACGGCGCCGCGGCAGGTGGAGAGGAGAGGAGAGGGGGATGCATTATTCAATTGCAGGGGGTGATCAGAACAGGAAGAGGGAAAAGCGCGGAAGAGAAAACTATCCCCCTCGGCCCCTCTGCTGCTGTAACCGTGCTGATGGGACGGTTCCGGGGTTGCCCCGAGATCCGCCTCGTCGGCGTTTCTTCAGGAGGCGCTTCCCTTTGGTATCCCAGAGCGGGCGGCCCCTCTGCGGCTGTAGCTGCGCTGGTGGGACGGTTCCGGGGTTGCCCCGAGTTCCGCCTCGTCGGCTGTGACTTGAAGAAGGGGTCTCATTATGCAAGGCTGACTTGGAGGACGGGTTTGCTTCGTAGGCTTTGTCGGCGAAATGGCCAGGGGGGAGTGGAGTGCGGAAGGGTGACAGCTCTCACACGCAGCAATTCGCCAGATCAGCCGCCCGCGACCCGCAGCAGTTCCAGGCCAGCCAGCCGCGCCCGCAGTCGCCATGGCAAACGAAGACGCGATGGATCGCATGGCGAAGGCGCTAGACAGCAAGGGGGGGGAGGCCGCAGAGGCGAAGGAGATCTTGTCGGCGGCGATTGAAATTTTAGCGAGATCGGAGAGAACGAAAAAGAAGAATAAAATAACGGGGACGTCCGCCTCCGACATCGTAACGGACCGAGTTTTCAACAAGAAGACGGTGGCAGAGGCTGTGACAACACACCAGGAGAAAGTGGCCAAACATCCAGACGATTATATATGGTGCCGCGATGGATCGTACGCCGTCCCACAAGAATCAGGTCAGGTGGTGCTGGGAATGCGGGGAGAAAGACAATTGGAAAATGATGTTCAATTTCTTCGCGAAGGAGCGTCCGCAGAAGTGGTGCACGTCCCCCGGCGTTTGGAACGAGAACTGGTTCTGGGAACAGGGCAGCCAGAACGAGTACCGCGGCCACCATTGTTTCCCCTGCCACGCGGAGAGTACTGGCGCCGACACAGTGACGGCCAAGAAGGCTCTCCTGAAACAACTCGGCAAAACGAATAAACATTCATGGGGTTCGGCCAGATCTCGCGAGCGCGTCGACAAATACAAGGCGTCCTTCACCGAGATCAAGAAAGCTTTCACCGGCCTCGTGGGCTTCGCACTGGACGGCGATGGAGGCGCCTCCTGGAGGAAAGCGACGATGGGAGTCGAGATCGGAATCGACCCCAAGAGCAAGGGAGCCCAACCGGACGAGGCGGTCGACGATCTAGGCCGAGAATGGGCCGAGGTGCCCGAGGAGGGCTGGGCGCTGACGGGCTCTTCCTCGGCCGCCGCCAAGCCGGAGGAGCCGGCCATGTTCGGAGCCCAGAGCTGGGACGAGTTCGTCGACGGCGACTTGTTGACCGCTTTGAATCACGACCAAAGGCGTGCCATCGCAAGAGCGTATTTGCAGATCCAGACGCAGCGGCTCAGGCGCATCGCGGCGCCGCAGATGAACTTGATCATTTGCAAAAAACGGGACATGAACAAAGCCGTCGCGTGCGCCAACGTGTACAGCGACTGGCTTAGCACAGACATTTACAGCGAGATTTCCGACTTCACACTGAAGGAGGACCAGCAATTCTGCCACGACATTCAAGAATCCATGACGGCCAACGCCGAGAGGATGCAGGGCTTCTCCAAAGCCGTCGAGGCTGGACATGGCAAGCCAGGCCAATACCAGTTGGTTTGTGATTACTCAGACCAGTTCCTTGCAACCGATAAGGGCCGCATGAACACATACTACTGTTGCGGCGGCAAGACGAACTACAGCATGGAGAAAAAGAAACACGTGCGGTGCAAGGCTGTGATCCGGACTGACAGCTGGGCGCAATTGCTCACGATCAATCAGGAGATCGAGCAGGAAGGAGTTGGCCAAGCGTGGTACTGCCATTGTGGGACGAAGTACACGCCTGGGAAGGGGGGCGTCTTGGTCGAATGGATCGACTTCGAAGCCGTCCCCCAACAAGCCTGGTACTTCGTGGCCGTCCACCCGCAGTACGACATCAAAGACCTCAAGACGCTGTGCCGGGAGGCGGTCCTGGCCGAGCAGATGGACGTCAGCAAGCTGCGCCCCATCGACGTCCTCAAGTACCTGCCCAAGGTCGAGCCCCTCGCTATGGGATCGGTGGTGAAGCCGTGCAAGGAGGACGACCAGAAGTGGAGGGGACACTGGGTGTTAGCTGACGGAATCGAGTGGGGCAGCCTCCCAGCGTGGGACTGGGACTGGCTGTGCGCGCAAGTGGCTCGGGGCTGGAGCGACCCGCCAGATAACCTCTTCCAGAAGGAAGGAGATTCGAAGGCGCTCATCTCCGAGAAGAAGCGCTTGCGCAAACTCTGGTGGAACCTGTCGAAAGATGTCAAAAAGATGGACGCCAACGACGAGGAGAGCATGCAACAGGAGGCGAAGAGCAAGGCGAACCGCGCCTACGACGACGGCGGCTCCGATACGGAGACACCGGTTGCCACTGAGGATGCCGCGGCGGCGCGCCTCCAGCTTCCCGAGATCCCAGCGGTGAACAAGAGGCCCCCGCCGAAGCGCATGATTGTCGACCTGGAGCCGTCGTCCGAAGATTCCTCGGACCATGAGCCGCCCAGTGCCCGCGCGCGCGCGCTCAGCCACTGAGCGTTCGCACCGCGTCTCCTCCTGCAGTTTCTCCTTCCTCGCGCTCCCGGGGCTGCCCCGAGTTGCGCTGCCTCGCCTCCCCACATCCTTTCCGCATTTACATGCGTTTATTTGAACAATTGTTCATTTATTTGCTTTCGTTGTACAGACCTTCAACCAATCGTGCGTGGGTGGTGGGTCAGAACCTCATGAATCCTGATTAGAATCTCGTGGATGGCTGATACTTCTGAACGCCTCTTGGGCGACCTTTGAGGTTTAATGGAATCCTCTTCGGGCATGTTGGGGCCAATATCGGGCCTGTCGAGAGTCTTCTAGAAGCCTCTTGGGGATTTTTGGGAGCCTCCTGAGAATTCTTGGGGGCCTCTCGGGGCTTCTTGAGGCCCCAGGAGATTATTAGAGGGCTCTGTAATCTCCAGGGGCCCCCAGTGGATCCCAAAAGCGCCCAAAAAGAGCCGCAAGGGTGCATTTACTTTGTATCTCTAAGGATGCCCACGCAGAGACCTGCTGAGATCTGCAAGGAGCCCCCTGGAACATGTTTCAGAGAGTTCCCGAGATTTTCCACATCCCCAAAGAGCTCACCAGGAATCCAAGAAGCCCCAATGCAGAGACCGCAGTAGATCCCAAAAACACCCAAAAAGAGCTACACTCTTACATAATACTTTGTGTCTCTTTGGGGAGGGGATCTCTTGAAAATCTCTTAGACCTTCCTGAGATCCTGCTAAAGGGAGCCCCCGAGACTTCCCGAACCGAATACCCGAGGAGCCGCCAAGGAAATCCAAGAAGACCCCACGAGCATCACCAGGGGACCACAAAAGACACCGCAAAAAGAAACACACTCGCGCATAATCATATCCAGGGTGCGTGTTGATGCGTAGCTCTCGCGCCATGCCAGCGGCAGCCGCGGGGCCACTTCGCGCTCCATTAGCTCATAATCAGCACCATGCATTGAGCTGCTCTCTCTCTCTCAGTGCATCGTCCGAAGGAGGAGGAGCGCTTCCGGGGTTGCCCCGAGTTACGCCCTGACCCTCTTATATCCTTTCATTTACATATGTTGCACTAGCACGTGATTTTCCGTGTGCCGCATTCATATTAGTTTTCACCAAGAAAATTTATTTGCATACAGACATTTGTCGCAGCGGGCTCCCCGCCGTGAATTCAGACATTTGTCGCAGATACGCGCCGTCGACCCCGTCGTACCGGCCATCTTCGCATTCGAAATTTCATCAATATCATCATCATCATCGCCGCTAGCGCGGTCGGCGCATCCATCTTCGCCGTCATTATCCCTCGTAGCAGCAGAGATTTCGGGGTAAGGAGGAGTGGCCCCATCTGGTTACGGCGCTCTGCCGAAAATGCCCTTTCTGCCGCGCGGCGTCTGCGCGCACCTCGCGGACGCTTCCGGGGTTGCCCCGAGTTGCGCCGTTGTGCTCTCGCAGCAGCAGGGGGGCTCGGGGTAGAGAGGGGCGGCCCCCTTTGAATTAGGAGGAGAAGGAGGAGATGGAGGAGGATCGGGATGAAGAGGAGGAGGAGGGGGAGGAGGAGGAGAAGGAGGAGGAGGATGAGGAGGAGGAGGAGGAGGAGAAGGAGGAGGACGAAAACAGGGACAGCGACGAAAACAGCGAGAGCGACGAATACGACAAGAAAAAATACAACAATCGAAACTCGGATTTCCGTGAGTTTTGGATATGTGTGCCTACAGAGACCTACAGAAATCTCAAAGGACCTCTGAGGAACTCCGCAGGCCTCAAGAGAATCAGAAAGGGGCATTCTCCTCCTCCTCCTCCTCCTCCTGATCCTCGCCGATTTCCGATCCACGCCGCTTCCCTATCCTCTTCCCATTATGCGTGTTCATCTTACGCCGTTTTCCGATCCACCCCGCTTCGTTATCCTCTTCCCATTATCCGTCTTCGTCTGATCTTCAGGCTGTACAGGCTCGAGCCCGGCGTCATGAGTGCCAACGTTGCTGATTCGAAACCGTCTACCTTCAATGCCAGTTGATGTGTGATTACTCAGACCAGATCCTTACCAACGATAGGCGGACGCCATGGCAAACGAAGACGTGCTGGAACCCATGGCGAAGACGCTAGACAGCAAAGAGGAGGAGGCCGCAGAAGCGAGGGAGATCGCGTCGGCGACGATGGAAATTTTAGTGAGCTCGGGGGGAACGAAAAAGAAGAAGAAGGTGACGGGGACATCCGCCTCCGACATCGCGGCGGATCGAATATTCAACAAGAAGTGGATGGAAGAGGCTGTGACAGCGCACCAGGAGAACGTTGCTAAAAACCGAAACGATTATATATGGTGCGGAGATCGATCGTACGCCGCCCCCAAGAACCAGGTCAGATGGTGCTGGGAATACGAGGATCAAACCAATTGGAAGATGATATCCAATTTCTCACGACGGAGTGGCCGCAGAAGTGATGCACGCCCCCCAGCGTTTGGAACGAGAAATGCTTCTGGGACAAGGGCAGCAAGAGGCAATACCGCGGCCGCAATTTTTGCCCCGCCTGCGCGGAGAGTCAGAACGCTGAGCCAGCCAGTGCCCGCGCGCGCGCGCTCAGCCAATGAGCGTTCGCCCCGCGTCTCTTCCTGCAGATTCTCCTTCCTCGCGCTCCCGGGCTTGCCCCGAGTTGCGCTGCCACCCCCCTCGCCTCGAGCTTCCGGATTTGCCCCGAGTTCCGCTGCCCCCACCCCCCCCATTTACATTTATTTGAACGCGTCAATATGTACGTGCACCCTTTCTGTTTTTGATAAATTATTTCCCCCCCTCTCTCTCTGCGCCCTAACTCCCCACCGCAATTCCTTCATCGCGCACCCGAGGATGCCCCGAGTTGCGCTGCCTCACCTCTCCGCATCCTTGCCGCATTTACTTAACTTTATTTGCGCATTTTTTCCATTTGCTTGCGTTCATTCTCCTAACCTTCGGCCAATGCCGCCGATCCGGAGCGCCCCGCCTGATGTGATCCTTCTTGGCCCTCGCCCCTCCGCCAGATTCTCACGGCCCTCGCCCCTTGGCCCTCGCCCCTCCGCCCCCCCACCCCTCACTCATCATTTATCCAGTGACTTTCGCCCCATCCCACCACCGTGCGTGGGTGATGAGTCAGAACCTCATGAATGCTGGTTGGGATCTCGTGGACCACTGGTACTTCTGAGCGCCTGTTGGGCGCCTTTTGGAGTTTAATGGGATCCTCTTGCGGCCTCTTGAGATCAATAGCCGGCCTGTTGGGAGCCTCGAGGGGCTTTTCGGGGCCCTCTTAAACTTCTTAGGAGCCTCTTGATGCTTCTTGGGCCCGCAGGACATTACTAGAGCCCTCTCTAATCTCCAGAACCTCAATAGATACCAAAAGACACCCAAAAAGAGACACACTGATACATATACGTTGTACCTCTAAGGGTGCCCTCACGCAGCCCGGCTGGGTCCCTTCCGGAGCCCCCTGGAACCTATTTCAGGAAATTCCCGAGCCCCCTGAAACCCCTAAAAACATCACCACAATCCAAGAAGACCCCCTGAGGGCCCACAGTAGATCCCAGAAACACCCAAAAAGAGACACACTCGTGCATATACTTTGTGCCTCTTTGGGGGGCTCTCTTGGAGCTCTCTCAGAGCCTTCCTGGGATCCTGTCGGAGCCCTCGGGCGTAGGAGTCGGCAACTCCAGCAAATCCGCTCCGCCTCCCTTCAGGGCGCGCGGCGGGAGGATTGTGCGCCACCCTCGCCCTCCCTCGGGCCACTCGTCAGATTTCCGCCCCCGCTCCTCTTTGCCCTCTACGCCATTTCAGGTCAAGTCGAATGTCCGACTCGGAGATTGAATCGTCTGAGTCTGAACCAGAGGAGTTGCCACCGCCCCCAGCAGCACTGGGCATAGACCATATAGTAAGGCCAAACCCGTTTACAAGGGAATGGGAGCTGCGCTGGCGCCCAGGCCCTGAAGGCCCGTGGCTATCCAGGCCGCTGGCCCAGCAGGAACGACCCTACACCCTTCTCCCCTCTCCCCCGCTCGCTCCCCTCCAACTCCTCTTCCTCTTTCTTCTCATTCTTATCCGCTTTCCACCCTTCTCGTCGTTCATTTCTTTACTTTTGTTTGTTTCTCTCTCTCTCTCTCTCTGCCTTTATCTATCTATCCGTTTCTCCTCCTCCGCCTCCTCATCATCCTCCTCCCCCTCCGGG